GTATTGGGTTCTTTATTTTCTCTTCCACCGGAAGCAAGCATGTGGTGTTGGGTAAATGGCCTCCGTTGTTCAGGCTACCATAAAGAGGCTTTCTTGTGCTTGCCTGCCCCTTCTCTTGCTCTCTGTTTCCCTAACTCTCTCGCTCTCCTACCCTCAAAGCAGACTGCGCTGCAGCCATGCTATTGGGCAGCGAGCTGTAAACAGGAGATGTACACTGATCCAAGTGGCAATCACCTCCGTTCAGACCCACGCCCCCTTCCCTTCACCCACGTTTTTTTGTAAGTCTTGCTCGAGTGCTGAAATGTTCACCAAGAAAAAGAGAATGAAAAATCTTGTGGGAATGGTTCCCTGCGCGGAGGATGGTCCGCTGGGTATGTCCTTTGCTCATCATGAACTCAATACACAGGCCCTTTATGTGGCTGTGTGGAGGGTGGCCCCCTTCCCTCCTCTGCTTCTCATCCACACCCAAGAGGCTCCCATTCAGCCCAGGCCTGGCTGGGGGGAAGTTGGAGCTCTTTTGTAGTGGGGGATTCTTAGGGGAGGCTGTCAAGGCTGCGACTGTGTGGGCTTTTATTTCCCCAGAGAAGAGAAGGGGGGAGAAACGATGGGAGAGAGAGGGCAAGAGGGAGACGGGAGGGAGAACCAAAGGAGAGTTTAGACACAGAGGGCCTTGTTAACGGGCACCCCCAAAGAGCGAGAGGATGAGAGGAAGAAAGAAACAGGGAGAAGGCAACGCAAAAGCAAGAATGAATCCAGCAAAAAGCCAAATAAACTTGCCCTCAGTTACGTCACCGCTGTTATTCCCTCTTTTCCTCTGCTTTTCCCTATCCGTTCCCTCCATCTGTCCCCATGTAAGCGCTCTCTTCAGCTCAATAACAAGCTTTTGGCCTCCCCCTCACCCTTCCGTGCCCTCTTCTCACCCTCTGCCATTACTTTACACACATTCCATTATCCGGGAGACCAGGCTAAGAGAGATGTCTGGGGTCGGAGCGATCATTATCATCACCTCTTTCCGCTACACTCTGAGTTATAGCCCACCGTATAGGAAACAGACATTTAAATCATAATCAATAGAGCAATATCAATGCTGAGAGGCACGGCTAAAGGAAATCACTGCCGGGGCTCTGCGGGAGACGGAGGCGCTCCGTTTAGACTGAGATAGTGGCGCATGATTATTGATAAAACATGATCAAGCCAGAAAATGCATTATGTGGCATCCCGCTCTGCACAGTTTTGGGGGTTTATTTTTGGAAAAGAAACGTATCCGCTGATGCAATGATTGTGGCGTGTGTGTGAAAGTGTGTGGAATTTAGAAAGGTGTGGAGATCTCCAGGTCTCTGGTGCTGCCGGCATGTCGGCTAAAGCACAAACGCTGCAGAGAGGGAGCGCTGCCATGCCGTATACATTAACTGACCCTTCTGCTCATGTGAGGGTGACAAGGGCAGCTCGGTCCCTCGTAGGGGGAGCAGCAATACACACATAATGTTGTGTCCCGCAAGGACGACGCAAGGTGACAGGTGCAACCTGACCTGGCTGCGACCGGACCGAGGTCTCTGCTGCCACTACAGCTGATATCAGGACTGAATCTCTTGACTCTGTGCGGCCACAAAGAGAAGATATCACGTCTTCATACAGCGGGAGTGCACTGCATCACTGTCGAGGAAGAGCAGCTTTAAGACATGAGACAAAGACACATCATGTAATCAATCAGGACAAATGACAGTTCTATCATGCAGGGAAGCGCACATAATCAATGTTATTAGTTCATACAGTTTGTTTGCCATGAATATTTAACTTTCATGTCTTTCATGTTTCCAGCGTCAATTTGAGATGTTATTTGCTGGCATGACCTTTTGCAACTTATATAACCGGTACTCTCAACAGATCTTGGTAAATACATTTTGGATTTGGCATACATGACTCAAGAAGGTTAAATGAAGATCAGTTATATGATTTATTTTCTCAAGTGTAGTTTATCTTCAGGGCATTTCTTTCCATTTTTAGATTTCCCTTTTCCTTTGGAGAAACACAAAGTTTTGCTCCTATCCTATTTTAGTAGCAAATCATATTCAACATTCGTATTCAGCCTGAAGGTGTAATGCTTGGGCTTTGCCTTAGCTATTGATAAAAAAACAAAGCATCCTACATTTGATGTTGAGGTTCTCACAGAACTGGCATTATTGGGTATGTCACAGAGAACATTTACTTAAAACAAATGTATTTGTATGAACTTTACTTTCAACTCAGATTATTTACTATCTATTGATCACTTTATGTTTGTAGAATCCACTTGACTGTGAAACTAATTTTGTTTACTGTGTGTGCCAAAGTGAATTGGTCAGATCATTTAAATGAGAATTTACATATAGTTTTGAATTTAGGCAGCTAACAAAGATGGATAAAAAAGTATTATACTTTATAATTAAATGCTTAAGGTAAAGTGATACCTTGTCCATAGTAATAATCTCAATTGAATATCGGGTTGAATAGTGCAGTCAAGCAAATAGCCAACCGGACCAAATACTTGAGAAGCACTGAGCTACATCCCAGAATCCCAAGGTCCTGTGTAGGAGTGAGCTGTGAGCAGATAGTGCTCTGCACTCACGGTTCATGTGCAGCCAGAGCCCACGCAGTGCTGATGAGACAGAGATCATCTGCTAGATCTGTAAATCTATAACCCTCTCCCTGGTGAGTAAGGAGGTTCAGAAATTAAGATAACTCAAACCAGAGGCAAATGCATAGTATGTACCGTGGCATTATGTAAACAGCCAGTTCCTGTACCTCATTCTAGCAAAGTAGACTGAAAGTCCGGAGGTCATGCACAAAACGAAAACAGACCAAACACCTCCGGAGTACAATCATAAAGTCAGCGGTCTGCTATAAATGTAAAAAAATTGAAATAACCATGCACAAAAACAATTACATTGCTATCTTAATTGCTTTCCAAAGAAAATACTTTCTGTCACCTTTCCAATTAAAACATAACCAGTAGCTATATTAGATGTATTTTTAAATGGCGCCTGCAGCATGTCTTGTTGTCTAAGATATTGGATTCTACCTCTACATTTTAATGACCAGTTTCATTTATAGATGCAGGGGGAATCAACACGGCTAAACAAAACAAAAAAAAACCAAAAAGAATAGAGAATTGAGCAGCGCTTTATTCCGCCAGCTGGGGATCCAAACCCATTTACATGTTGTCATTTAGTAATTCCTCATATTACATTGCCAAATGGGTAACATTTGCTATATATATTTTCAATTAGGCTAACAGTTGCACAGAATCCCTTTTACATGCCATTCTCCTGACATTTCCTAACCCATGTGACATACACTTGGTGAAGTGTGAACCATTTCGCAAATGAGGGTTATTCTGGGAGAGTCACGTCTCCTCTCTCTCCACGGCACCCGGGAGAGGGTTGTAAAAGCTGTTGTCCTTTAGTTATGACGGAACACAAGGAGGAGCCGCGAGAGGGAAAGGAAAAGCTCTTCAATTGGAGTCCTCCTCTCCCTCTCTGTCTGCGTCCCTCTCTGTTCCTCTGCCTGTCTCTTTCCCTCTCTCTCTCTCTCTCTCTCTCTGCGTGTGCCCTGCTGCTCTGTCATCCTCAGGGATGCGTCTGAAGGAGACCATCTGTTGATCCATTTGTCTCCTGCTTTGCTTCCTCTGCCACCGCCTCTCTCCTATCGATGATCAGGCCTGGCCTTTCCCCTCTTTGTAACTGCCAACAGGCACTCGGGGCGAGGCGGGTGTGCTGTCGGGGGTGGGGGCAAGGGGCCTGTGCCCTCTGTAGACTCACACAAAGAGAGAAAATCAGGATTGGTGGACATGCCATCCTTTTGTGTTCATACATGAGCCCGGAGCAGCTGCTTTCTGATCAGTGTGTATCTAAAGTGAGCATCGCTGCTGCTGACCAGAGTCAAAAAACACACTTTTATTTATTTATTTCTGCATGGTTGATATCAAAACTATTCCCTTTTCCCCCCTTAGGACTTAAACACAGGGCTCATCATTATATGGAGGCATAGACCATGAAATAGATGTTAGAAACAATGCTGTGTTGCTGAAAGACCATCACCGGAGGCTGGCAAGCATTTACCACCATTGCATGTGAAGTGTTTGCCACTAAAGAGAGGAAAGGGGGTCTTGGTTTCCACGCACATCTTCTAGCTGTCACCTCGCATGTGTGTGCAGGGGTTTGATGGACACCGAGTCCACCTTGGGGACTTCATGGATTGCTTGCCTTTGATCTTCTCCCACGACTCTCCATTACCCATCATTCAGCTGGGTTTAGGCCCTGGAGAGCATCTGGGAGAAGGTGGTGTGTTAACATGAGCTCTGATGCGCCCATGAGAGACCCACTGTCCAACTCAAGGCATCATATAGCTGATTACACAGACAAGGGAGGAAAGAGCACACGGATGCTGCCTTTTGTGAATGGTTAGACTGAAAGTATGTGTAGTTCCGAGTGGAAAGACCGAAGCATGTCAGAGGAAGGTGGTGTCTGATAGGATATGTAATAAGGTTGCAATCCATATGGAGGGTTTTGCAGCATCAAAATGATTGTAAATGTTATTATCACGTCTTTTTCTCTCCCCTCTGTGCATGGAGTTTTCATAGATTCCTGTGGTTTTCATCAGCACTGCTCAATATATCCGATGATGGGTGCTCACCCGGGGAGACATGCCATTGATTTCCCATAAGGTGCAGATGACATGTGGTCACACGTACTCCTATTTTATCAATAGCCGTATCATCCAATAAGTCATGATTTCAGCGCTGCTGTCGCCCGGCGTGACGGTTCTTCTGACAAAATCGAGCAGGGGTCTAGTCCCTGCGGATAACCTTTTATGCTGCAGGAGCACAGGGAGGATGAATATCTGTGGCATATTTAATGTGAAAGTTGCAGACTACCTTTTTATTGTTATTTAGTTTGAAAGGCGAATCACTGTATGCATTGAGGTGACTTTTTTTAATGATGTAATATCTGTATGTGTTACAGGCTTCCTCAGTACTGGTGACCAGGCTGCTAAAGGGAACTACGGGCTCCTGGACCAGATCCAGGCGTTGAGGTGGATCAGCGAGAACATCGGCTTCTTCGGAGGAGACTCCAACCGCATCACCGTGTTCGGTTCTGGGATCGGAGCTTCCTGCGTCAGCCTGCTCACCCTCTCCCACCACTCTGAAGGTAAAGAACGGCAGAGATGTAGGAGGAATTGGGGGGTTGGGGGATACAGCAGCTCATGCCTGCTAGTGTGTAGGCTGCTTAATATTAGAAACTGGCGATCCAGCTCGAGAGTTATTGAGTAATGTATTCTACTGTACTGCACAGCATGACGAAAGAAGCAGATGTTTGCATTTAAATGATTGTGATATTCATTACCATCCGGAAATTGAAACTTCTCGGCAGATTTCAGACCACAATGTGGGGTCTTGATGTACTCTTAAACCCTCGTCTGCTCTCTCTCTCGTGGTCTGGGGCTCCTTCTCTTCTCATCTCTCTCTCGGGGGTCATCTCGCTCCTCAGTTCATCTCTCTCCTCTTGCCGTCTTCTATTCCTCTCTCTTCGTCACTCTCATCTCCTCTCTCCGTGCTCTGCTCTCCTCTCTCTCTCGCTCTCGGGGTCTCGCAGCTCCTCTCTCCTCGTCTCTCTCTCTCTCTCTCTCTCTCTCGCTATGTCAGGAATGAACATGTAGGTATAATGTGTCTTTGTAACGTAGATAAAAAGGGACATGATGTGCCAGTGAGAGCTTTTCGGTGGCATGCTAAATGACACACACGCTGTTCTCTTCTGTAAGCAATGTTGTTCATCTGCTGGCTACCTTAGTGCTACTTCATGATGATTAACTGCCCATCTCGACCAAGTCTTCAATACTAAACCTGGACATGTGATAAACATCCCTCATGTTATTGCTTATAGGTAAGTTCATACATGAAGTGATTCTTTTTAGCTCCGTCCATGAGGTGCACCCTGCAGAGCCAAAAGGACACAGTATCATCTTTGACCTGGAGTAATTACACTCAGTCACGTATTCAACCAGCCGTTAAAAAAGCCGGCTGATTGTTTTGCGTTTAATTGATAGTAGCAGTGGGTACATGACAGGTTATTAGGATATTGAGGTGCTGTTGTATAGCATGCTGGGTTTTTTCCTGCAGTGTTTATGTGGATGTAATATTCCAAATGAGAAATCTTTACATTCAGCCACGCTCACAGCCTGCTTGTGAACATGTTCACAAGCCACAAACATGCTGCTTTTGACACGCACGGTTGCAAATGTAACACAGGGCTTTTACTCTACATGAAATGCAAGTGAATAACATTAAAGCAATCGCTCTTGCACGAGATAATGATTGGTCTTAGGCGATATTGTGGTCAAGAAGCTATTAGGTGGCTAACGCACAACCACCACACACATTAACATACACACACACACACATCTGAGAGTAGAATCTGTGTTCTCAGATTTCTGATATTAGACTGACGTGCATTTAAAAGAGGTCATTTGAACTCCTCTTCTCCGGTCCCTATTACAATGCCAGGGATTTGTGATGTGTTTTGCATTCTCCAATTTGCATTAAAGTGTTACTAATTGCCTTGATTTCCTCCGATGAATGATGACTGCTTTTGGATTGAATTTTTACCATAAATGCCTTTTTTATTCATACTCCATAATGTTACGCTTCATGTAGCATGTTATTATACTGCCAGTGAAACCATCTCCTCTGCCTCCCAGTAAATTGGATATTACCGGGTCTGTTTTTTCCCCTGAATGGAAATGTATGCCCCACTGATGGGATACAAAAAAGAAAAAGGAAGTAAAATTTGAGGGATCCAAGGAAATTGAAACGGGAAGCCTTCTATCACGCTAGGACTCTTGCTGCGAACGTTACCAATGGCAATCAGATTTCACACAGTCTCTTTCAGAGCACAGATTGTTGTAATTATATAAAGTTTAGGACTGGAGTGGGCTGCAGGATGTGACAGGAAATCCGAGTGACAAAAATGTATTTTCGCACCTGCTTTCACTGTACCACCCCTCCCGTCGTCATCTTCCTCCTCCTCTCCTATAGTCTTAACTGCTGAGGTAAAAGCACGTAGGATGTTCTTGTTGCCAAGGCGACTCAATAAACAAAAAAGGAATCAAAGTGTCTGGATCTGCATGGCGGTGTGAAAATTGATGTTAAAATCTATCATCAAGTGAATTACATACTGTGGCATGAGCACACCTGGTCTCAGATGGCCTCTAATAATGGAGTTGTGTGATCATCTCCTCTCCATGTTAGCAGACTGGAGTTTTCTACTTGTTTCTACTCACTGAAAACGCACCTGTTCACCCTGGCCTTCGGACCCTAGTCCTTTCCTGGTCCCCCGGCTTCCTTTATTTCATTTTTAACCTTGGGTCCCTTGAAAGGCGCTTTATAAATTCCATTTATTATTATTATTATTATTATTACTTTGCTCTCTGAATGAAAATGAAGTCAGGAATTATTTTTTGTAAACAATGCGTCATAGTTCCAAATTCATTTCCTGATTTTGTTCTTTATTCTTTGGTCACGTATAAAGATTCATTGCAGCGTCTAGATATAGAGACTGTGGTGTCTTATTGAATGCGGCATGTTTGAATTCAGAAGTAGCATGCGGTCGGATATGATGAACATAGAATGTGACTCACAAACATTTCCTTTCACCTGATGCTCACATTCAGGATAACGGGGCCCAGGTATAAAAGAGAACAAGTAAATCAGTGATGACACACTGTTCTGGAGCTCCCTGGTATGTCAGTGTATTTAATGACAGTATTCCTGCTCCTACTGTACACAGTCTGTCATTACTGCCTACAGTGCATTGACTCTCCATCTAACAGAGACTTCCTTTTATGCCTGTTGGTGGCATAGTGACAACTTACTCCAGATGCTCCATGCTCCTCCTGAAGCCTATTTAATAAGCTGGATCCTCCTATATCACCCTAGCCCTACGGCCTCTCTCTTTGATTGCCTTCTCCTCTGGCCTGGCCTTGGTGGCGTCTCTATGTGGGCGTGCCGAGGGGTCCAGTCACAGGGTACATCCATCACCCCCCCCACCCCCCCCCCTCGTGGCCTGCGTGGATGCTGGCCTGGACGTCCTCTCGTGAGGGCTAGATCTTTTAGACCCCGGTCCCTGCCCTGCCTCCTCCATCTAATCTCCTCCTCACTGCACCCATCTGTCTCCCTGCCTTCAGAGACAGTAAAAGCATGCAAGGGACACACGCTTTCTCTCCATGTGCCAGTGTGTCGCTCTCCCTCTCTCCCTCTCTCTCTCTGGGTTTCTGCTCCTTAGTCTGCAGCATGTGTGGTGCGTTGCTATTAATAAGATGGCTGCCTTGTCTTCTATATGCCAAGCAATCTTGGCGCACATCTGAGACTTTGGAAGCAGAGTGGTCATTAAAAGCGCAGTCCCTCTCGGCAGGAGAGTGTTTTTGAGCAGCTTATTAAATGTAGCTCAACAGTTGTGTTCCCAAAGAGGGAAATCTATGTCCCCATCTTCTTTTTCACCAGCTTCAAACAGAAAGCGGCTGAAGAAGTTCAGGAGCAAGGACATTAGCCAGTCCCATGTATTATCTATCTGGCATCGCGCAGGCACTAATTGAACATGCAGATTTGGCTTTTTTCCCTATCTCCTAATAATCATTACGATATAAAAAGTGAGATAGCTTCTCTGCACATGAACAGAATACCAAGTAGCTTGTGACGCAGACCTCTGGGTTTGTACATATGTATCTTAGCGCAGTTGTTACATCTGTTTCTCCATTCACAACCTACTTAGAGAAAACACTGTGTATCTACGCAAAAGTGTCTCCATCAGTGTGCACGCCGACCCCTCTCTTCACGGAGCGCACACAAGGGAAGGGCTAGTTGTCGAGCTGCTGAAGGTCGTTTGGTTTCTTTTTTTCTCTTCTCTTCCTGTAAGCAATCAGGATAAAAGCTCCGCTTCTGAGGAAGTGCTCCCCTTTTAATGGAACGTCTTGGACATTAAAGACAGCTAGTGTGGAGGATCCTTCATGCCAATGTCAGCTTTCATTTTTATGAAGACTTCTGGGTTATTGAGGACCATAAATGTGCATGTTAAATGCTTAGGTTTTATTACAGCAGTGCAATGAGTACCAAGGCTTTTTAATGCAAGACACCAGAGAGCAAACAGTGAAACCCCTTGAACCATGAGTATTGAGAGGGCAGCGGGACAGGTGCTCGGTTTTTAGCTAAGGGTAACAAGTTTTGAATCCATTTAGTGTGAAGGATAGCACAGGAGGTGAAGGAGTGCATTGTGGGATGTATAGAGATCGAGGATCAGAGAGATTGAAAAAATCAAATGGCGTGTCAGGTAATTCTTCTCAAATCTAATGTAAAATATTAACTTTATTAATGGTGGCTTCTCGTAGTGAAATACCGCTGTGGATTTTGGACTCAAATGAATGATTCATGCAGTCTTGAAAGGGATGTGAGTTGGAAGTCATATGAATTCATGTGTTTCAGTGCAGTTTCCTCCAGCTGATTGGATAGAAACTGGAACGTCTCTTAAGAGGGACTTATGATTACAGTAAGGCACAAACTGTGGTTTCCTTTATGACCATATTTGATAAAGTATGTGCAGTCAGTGAAACATTTGAAGGCAAAATGGCTGTCAAATAAAAGTTTTAACAAACTAAAAAGAACCATAATACCCCAGACATTTAGAGCGGCACTTTTTACTTAAATCGGATATTTAGCTTGTTATTATTCAGTGCTATTCATCCCTAATACATTTATCACAACAATTGCACTGGTCTGACCTTTTTTCTTTAACCATCGGTTGTTGTCGGTGTTTCAATGATAAACTTCACCCAGAAACAGGTTTTGTTGTTTCTTTGAAAACACCTTTCTCCTCTCACCCTCTACGCATCTTCCTTTGAATGGTGAACAAGACAAACACTTAAAACGATATTTATACATAAGCACAAAAACAAATAGATAAAAGCACAGTAATAAAGAATTACGAATTTTGAAAATATTCATAGTAATCAAATCATAAGCATCAAAATGAGAATTTGTAACATGTTAAATTGTTAGTTTGGGCTGAATATTTCATATTATTGAAATTGACTGGCCCCCTCATTAAATACTAGCAATTGTTTTATCAATCCTAAATGTGATTTACTATTACATAAACTGGCA